TGATGATCTTTATGAGACTGAAAAACGATATGATACATTATCAGTTATTCGACCTCACGAAACGTTGAAGCAATGGGTTATTCGGGTCAGAGTTCCTTTACAAAAGCTAGTCTCTGAGGAAAAAAGAAGCGTTTACCATGTATATGCTCTATTCCTAGGATTCGGTAAGGGTAAATTCATAGATCATGATTACTACAGACCTAAAATTCATAAGGCCAATATGGCGATATGTCTAAATTGTATAAAGCTTATTTGTATTGATAATGTAAAACTAATAAAGAAATTTCATTATGCTAGAAGTAGATATGTTGAAATTATCAAGCCAGAAGACTTGATGTAGAAACATTGGAATCAGGAGTGTAATAAACCTAAATCTCAGGATGGATATGCGAGAATTATTCAAAATGCTTGAAGACGATTTAGGGAAAGAGTACCATCAAATGCATGCCTTGCTTAGTTAAGTTTACCAAATGATAATACTACAGATGATGAGAAATTTCTAGGTCTAACCTCTCGTAAAATGAAAAATCATATATCCCTAGATCGAATTAAAATACGTCTTAATAAGGAATATGTCGAGTATATAGAAAAATATAATAGGTACCCTTTTGTTGCTGAAGATGAAATTAGAACATATAAAGAATATATTATTTTGTATGATTGGATAGGTTCTAAAAAATAGCAATTGAGATATCAGTTTCAAAAGTGACTTTTAGAACTTGAAGCATAATACATAATTAATTTATTTATTTATTAGCCGAAGACTTGCTCACGCTAATGTATACTGTAACTTATTCATATATATCTATTTATTTATTATATAACTTATTCGTATATATATATATCTTTAAAATAAAACCATCTAAGATATTATCGAGGGCTAGTACTTTAGACTTTTATTAATTGCTATTTCGAGATGATTAATAGTTATTTTTTCTCGATGTATATTTCATAATTTTCATAAAAGATTCCAATTTTTTCTGCGTCATAAAATATGATATTAATTTCTCGATACGATATATCAGTTGCAAAGCAGCGACTTAAAGAGTCATGAAATTTAATAAAGCATATTCAGGTTTGATCAATAAATTGCCACCATCCTTAGTTAATGAAG